AAGTGATCTCATCTGTGAAAGGGGACAATGCATGAAGCAGAGGACCCTCCAGGAGCTCAGCGCTCTTAGGTTCCTGCTGGAAATCTGACCCCACGCTGGGCTCAGGCTGCCGTGCACGTGTTGGTAGCTGGCTGGTGGCCTGGTGGCACTTGCTCCTCAGAGGCCCTCACCGCTGCAGGCTTGTGTCACAGGACCTATGCAGGGGACCATGGTTGTGTGATTCAGCAGCAGCTCCCCTGCAGCTGCCCACACAGCGGGCATGAACCAGGGAAGGGTGCCCTCCCCCAGGGCACTGTGATTGCCTCCGGGGCTGGGCCAGGCCTCCCTAACTGATCGTCTCTGACTGAACACCTGCCATTTCATCTTTATCTCTGGCTCCCTGAGCTGGATCACGTGGTAGTTCCTCAGTCAATCATTTCTGAATAAATGGATGTATAGATTTGTTAATCCACTTTTATATGTTTTTATTCATTCATTTGTTCAACAAATAGTTATTGAGCAGTTGTCTAGGTACTGGGAAGCAGTGGTGTGCATAAAAAATTGAGGCCCTGTCATGATGGAGCTTTGTACACTCTCCTGGAGAGAAGCATAAATGCATCAACACACAGATATAGAGCCAGAAGATGAGATCACCTCTATTAAGAAAATTGAAAATGGCAAGAGACTGCTGGGTGACAGGGACTATTTGTCTGGGATTGTCCCTGAGGAGGTGACATCTGTCCTGAGACCTGAATAAGGAGAGAATGAGCATCTTGGGAAATGAACAGAAAGTGCAAAGGCCCCGAGGTGCACACAGAGGCAAGTCTCTGTTGGTGTCTAGTTCCCAGGTGGGTGGTGTGGGGTTCAGTGCCAGGGGAGAGGGGGTCAGGGAGATTCAGGAGATAGCTCCATCCCTTGCTCTGTCATCAGGATGAAAAGCCAGAGTTGTCTTTCCGTCCTCCAGACAGCCACACTCAGCCGCAGGTCTTGTTCAGCCTGTTCCCTAACCCACCCCATAGCCATGCCTTTCCACTCAGTGCCACTAACACCCGCTGGAGTGCCACCTCCGCTCCTGCCTGGGTGGCTAAAGTGCCCGTGTTGGCTTTCTTGCTGCCTCCACGGCATTTCACACGATCCACACTGCACCTTGAGTTAGCTTTTAAAAGCAGAAGTTGCCTTGTATTATTCCTTCGCCAAAAGTGGCTTCCTTCTGCTCTTAGAATAAACCCCACCCAGAAGTGTACTGTGGCCCCCTCCACCCAACTGTCCCTGCCTGGGGACCTGCTGGGCTGGCCCTTCCTGCCCTTCTTCCTGCTGCTCCGCTCTGTGTGCCCGGGCCCCTGCACCTTCCACCAGGGAGGCTCTGCCCCATCTCTGCCTGGCTGGAGCCCCTGATGGCTCAGGGCTCAGCTCCTGTCAGCTCAGAGCTGCTCTCAGCTCCCCTGCTTGCCCCTCACTGGCTCCCAGTGCCCTGCGTGTTTTCTGGATGGGTCTTTTCGCTCTTCAAGGCTCTGCTGGGGTTGTTTGCTTTCTACTGCCTGTGTCCCCACCTCCCGGAAGTGCTTTCTGAGTACCTGCCTGTTCCTGGCTGTATTTCCAAACCCTAGCACCTGACCCCGCGGCCTGCAGGGGTCACCTTGGTTGCTTCCTGGCCGAGTGCCCTTGGACGTGTGTCCTAATCTTGGCTCATTCCTTACTGCAGCTAGGAAATGGGGTTATAATAGCGCCTGGCTCAGAGGCCCTGGCTGAGGTATCAGTGAAATCGTGTGTACAAAGTCCGTGCTGAGCATGGAATGTGGCAATAAATGTTAGCTCTTATCAGCTTCGCCATTGTTCTTATTGTTGATTGGTTAGCTATTATTTCTCAGTTTCCCCTCACGTAGCCTCAGAATCTCCTTCCTCCTGTGCGGCAGCCCTGCAGGGCGTCCAGGGTAGAAGCAATGGCTTCCTGTGCCCCTCTGTGGATGCAGATTTGGGGGCCTTCTTCCCTCACCACCGAGAGACTCAACAGTAGCCCCTTCCAGGTTTTTCTTTAGCGATTCCTCCCCCTCTCAGGGTCCCCGTTGCTTCAGGTACCTACTCAGTCTTTTCATGCTGTCATCCTCAATAAGATGATGCCCGCTAACTGACCCTATGAAGTTAGTGTTACCCCTTCAGCTGGATCTCTAAGGGGCCATCTGTCCTGCTGGCCTCCAGTTTTCCCTGTCCCCTGACCTCATTGTCTGCGACTGCGCACTCCTTTGGCGGCCAGTGCTCTGACTAGTTCCCTGAACAGCTCCCCAGGGTGGCAAGGAATCTTCTAGCATTGGAGGCACCTTTCATACCCCTGCCCCACGAGTGCCTCCGCTTCCCTTTCCGTGTGTAAGAGAGGTGAACGTCCCCAGGCTCCATGAGAGCAGGCCCCACCACAGCCAAGGTCCTGGGCCCAGCCCTTTCCCACCAGGGAGAAAATAGCAAGAAAAACAGATGAGACTGATACTGTGTGTACTGGGTCAGCCAGGACCCGGTCCTGGAGGAGCCCCAGGAAAGCTTTAACCCTGGGGCCCTGGGCGGGCAGGAAGGATGACGGATGGACGGAGGGGCAGGGAGCGCCTCTCCAGCTAGAAGTGGCCACCACCCTCTCTCCCATCCGGGACCCTGGCAGTGCCCCTCCCCTCTCTCCATAGGTGATCACTGCCCAGATGGGGTCCTGGGCTATACCCCAGTCCTCAGGCTGAGCCGAAGCACCAGAGGTCACTCGATCCACACCCTCTCGCCTGGCACCCTCTCTGAGCAGGGTCCAGGTGTTCCCATTTCAAAGCAGTCTGAGTCTGTCGGTCCTCAGCATCTAAACCCCCCCTAGTCAGCCCGGGGTCCAGAAGGAGGGCTGGGGTGGAGCCAGGAGTCCTGGCCCAGCAGAATCCTAATCTGTGGGATGGGATTCCACTCTGCTGGGCTTCCCTACAGCGGAGTTTTGGGGCTCAACTGAGAATTGACTGTGAAAGGGCTTTGTAAATGACAAATGCGATATAAATTATTGATAGATGTGATGGGCAGTGATGCTGGGGACAAGGTATCTGGCCCTACCTGTCCTGCTGCAGCTGCAGCCCCAGCCCCCTTTGGTCCTGTGGAGGCCTACCTTAGGGACCTGGCCCCAGGCCTGGGTGACGGCTGAAACAGTGTCCCACAGAATGACCTATGCACCTTTGGTCTTTCCCCAGACTTGTGCCAGACCCGGAGGGCATGGGGGTAGCAGGACACTAAGATCATCAGGAGCCAGACCTGAGCAAGATGTTTTAACAGCATTTAGGCTATGTTTGCTGAGCACCTAGGGACCCGAGTTGTTCCAGGTGTGTTTGTCTAGGAGCTCAGAAGGCCGAGAGCTCAGGCTAAGGAATCTTGGCAGGGTGTTTGCAGAGCATTTGCACATGTTATCTTTTTCGATCCTTGCTCTCTGATGTAGGTCTCATTTTACAGAGGAGGAATTGAGCTCGAACACTGCAGACCTGGGGCCCACATTCGGGCCTGGCCAGCCGTTCTGCTGGGAATACAAGGGGAGGGTGGGCTTTCATAGCAGCAGGGGAGCGGGTCAGCTGCAAGCCTCCTGTGACCAAGCGGTAGGGGGGCTGAGTAGTGTCATCCAGGGTACTCAGTTTCTCCTTGGGAATGGCAGAGAGATCTGGTACGAGGCCCCAAAGGGCCCTTCTTGTGCTTGTCTCCTAGGTGGTTTAGGGAGGGGGTGCCTAGCTTCTCCCACCCTCCAAGTTGTCCCCCTTCCTGGCCTCATAGCCTGCCCAGAGCAAGTGGGATTTAATGAATCCAAAGGGGTCTAGAAAAATTGACTTCTAGCGATGGAGGGGCCTTAAGCTTCACCACCGAGAAGAAAGCTGCAGATTCTGCAGGCACAGGGCAGAAGAGAACGGAGTCAGGGGCCCCCTGTAACACCCCCAACCCCATCTCGAGGCTGTCCACCTGCTCAGTGGGCACTCCATCCCTCTCAGGAGCTGTACTGGAAAATAACAAGTGGGCAAGCTGCAGAGTCAGGCTGGCGCTTCCTCGAAGGCCAGCGTGTGGGGAGAAGACACTAGGCTGGCTGTGGCTGGGTTGGTTTAAAGAGAGGTGAGGGGGCCCTAAAATACCAAAACCCTCCCCGTGGCCAACAGGCAGCCTCATCTGTGTGTCATCCAAAGGTTTTCACCTTCTTTCTGTGTCCTGACATGAAAAAGGTTGGAAAGCTCTGTTTTTTGACATCACCCTGCATGTTTCCTTTGAAGGACGTATCATCATCTGTTGTCTTCTTTCCCTACTTTTGTGTTATTGGTCTCTTCCCCCATAATGTGAGCTACATAGAGGCAGGAATCTTTTTTTTTTTTTGGTACTGGGGATCCAACTCAGGGATTGAACTCGGGTCCTTGTGCTTACGCAGCAGGCGGCGAAACCACTGAGCTAAATCCCCAGCCCGAGGCAGGAATCTTTCTTTCTCATCCACAACCCAGAGCAATGATAAGAAGCACTTGATAAATATTTGCCGAATAATGCACCCATGTATGCAAGCTTTGTGTGGAGGAATGAACGAGTGAAAGTATCCAGCATGTAGTAGACACTCAGTGAACCCCAGTTTTATTTCCTGAGAATCGTTATCAACTGCTTCATGAGGCCCACCCCCTAGGGCTAAGCATGTGCAGTCGTTGGGAAAGAGTGGGATCTAAAGGTGGAGGTAGGAAAGGGGGTGCTGGCAGGGGAAAATAGGTCAGGAGAGGGGAGGGTTTGTGACCGTGGAGTCAGCAGACCCTAGTATAACAGTGGACTGTTACTCCCCTGGCTGTTTAGGTGAGTGTAGACATGTGCTGGGAAGCACAGAACAGCGCAGTCACCTTCCATGTGACCTTGGGCAGATCTCGTGACCACACCCATCCTACTCTCTGGGTCCTGGATGGGGAGGGGGCATCCCGTGGGAACCCCCCAGGGACCAGGTGAGCCTCAGAGGGGCCTTCACGGCAGCTGGGTGGCAGCTTCTCACACCCTGCCCTCCTGTCCCACAGGTACAAGACGGTGGTGACCCCACGGAGGGCAGCAGTGGCCATAGCTGGCTGTTGGATTCTTTCGCTTGTGGTGGGCCTGACACCTATGTTTGGCTGGAACAATCTGCGTCAGGTGGAGACGGCATGGGCGGCCAACGGCAGCACTGGGGAGCCCGTGATCAAGTGTGAGTTTGAGAAGGTCATCAGCATGGAGTACATGGTCTACTTCAACTTCTTCGTCTGGGTGCTGCCGCCACTGCTCCTCATGGTCCTCATCTACCTGGAGGTCTTCTACTTGATCCGAAAGCAGCTCAGCAAGAAGGTGTCGGCTTCCTCCAGCGACCCGCAGAAGTACTACGGGAAGGAGCTGAAGATCGCCAAGTCTCTGGCCCTCATCCTCTTCCTCTTTGCCCTTAGCTGGCTGCCCCTGCACATCCTGAACTGCATCACCCTATTCTGTCCCACCTGCCACAAGCCCACCATCCTTATCTACATCGCCATCTTCCTCACGCATGGCAACTCAGCCATGAACCCCATCGTCTATGCCTTCCGAATCCAGAAGTTCCGGGTGACCTTCCTTAAGATTTGGAATGATCATTTCCGCTGCCGGCCGGAGCCCCCCATTGACGAGGACCTCCCTGAAGAGAAGGTGGATGACTAGACTCTGTGTCTGCTTCCTCCAGCCCCTGTCTAGCGGGCCTCAGCCCGGACCCATGTCCCCACTGTCCTTTTGGTCTTGCTGGGCTTCCACAACAGGGCTGTGGTTGTGACAGGGAAGGCTCTGAGTGGAAGCCCTCAGAGCAGGGCTCGTCCCTGAGGAGTTCATGGCCTTGCATGGTGGGGACCTGGAGCAGGCCTGTGAGGGCAGTTCACGGGGAAGGGACTGGGCACTGCAAGGCAAGAGGAAAGTGTCTTGAGCCCCTTTGCCTGCCCCATCCCATGGGTGGTCCAGCGCTTCAGGGCTGGGCAGGTCCTGAGTGGGACTGTGGAGGGGGCTTCAGGCCGGGAGAGGATGTTCAGGCCAGCCAAGGGAACCTGGTGGTCTTAGGTGTTGGTGGTATAGCCCTGGGACCCAGCTTCAGGACAGGAGGGGATCCCTCCCAAGATGGAGGATGGGAGAAACGATGATGTCCTGGTCTTACTTTCTCTAATGTTCTCTAGAAGGTGGCCAGGAGCAGTACAGGGCAGGAATCAAGGAGCATCGGCCACCAACTCCGAGGATTCTGCACTTTTGGCAATGACAGGGTCAGGATGCCTGCTCTCCTAACCCTGGGCAACCCAGGATTGTACTTGAGAGAGAGGCAGAAGGAGTGGTCCAGAAATCATTTCTCACATTTGTTTTATTCTTCACCAGCTCCCAGGGGGGCTCCAAGCCCTGGGGAGTGTGGCTCTGTAGCGGCTGGTCTCAAGCATCCACCAAGGGGCAGCACGGAGCCCTCCGTGCCCCAAGCGTCCCAGGAGCCTGGAGTGTAACTTCCTATCTTCTGGGCCACCACCTTCCACGTTCCATGTTCCACCAGCCCTCGGTGACAGACCTGGGCTGCCCTGGGGACACCATCACTGCTACTTCTGGGCCCAATGGAGAAGAAAGCTTCAGCTCTTGGGCGCCTTCTTTGGGGGATGGGGTGAAGGAAACATTGCAGAGGCCTGGAGGCGGGGTGTGGCGGGCTGGAGCCAGCCAGCAGGGACTGCCCTCCTGAGGACGGGAAGGATCTTGCCGACCGTCAGTACCCTACGTGGCCCTGGTATTTGGCTCACTCTGGGGGGACTTCGGAAGCTGTGGTGAAGATGTAGCCTAGGCCTGGAGGGCTCTGGAAAGAGGAGCTCCCGCCTTGCCGAGAGCCCAGGCAGAGCCCGTTGTGGAGGGTGAGGTGGGGAGAGAGATGCTTGTGGGGCTCCTGGGTTCTGGGTGTGAATGCTGACTCCAGGCCTCTGCCTTTGCCGGAGGTGGGGTGTCCCTGGCTCCCAGTGGAGCCCCGTGTGACTAATAAAAGACCGTGAACCCTCGTGCAGCCATTGTCACCAGCACCCACTGCCACCGGTGACAGAGGAACCAGCACAGCCTTGGCAGAGAAGCCAGAATGGGGGCAGGAAGAAGCGAGGAGAGGGGTCTGGGGGGCTTGGAGTCGAGAGGGGCCCAGAGAGGTGTTTCTACTGCTGTAGTCACGCACTGGGGGAAGCACGTCCTGAGTCAGAAAGCGCGGTCTGGACCTCTTGGGGCTGGAACATGCCCTGTGACATCTTGAGACGTTCCCCATGGCACTTTCCTCAGAGTGGCATGTTCAGTGCCGCCCCCGTAGCGATGAAGCCCTCCCCCCTTCGCAATGACGCTCACTGCCACAGAGACTCTGTGCCGCTGCAACACCTTTATTTGGGTGCTTTTCACCCGGTGCACAGGTCTCCAGGGTGGCCCGACCTCTGTACCTTCTGGGCACCTTGGAGGAGGCCTGGCCCAGGGCCTGCTAGGCCCACTCTGGGGTCCTAGGCTCCGTCTTCTAGGGGCAGGAGGCCAGCAGGTACCAGGGATGGTTCCTTCAGCCATTGCCATGGAAATGCAGGTCTTGGGTGTCCGTGGAGCTGCATTTTAGGACTGGCTTCTCAGGCCTGCAGGACCTGGCAGAGAACAGGTCCTGCCAGAACAGAGCCCGGGTGTGGGCTGAGCACTGCCACATGTTGGAAGAACAATTAGAGGTGGGAAAATTACATCTCTTCCCCTCCCTCCTTCAGGCCTGATGCCCAAGGCTGAGCTCTGCCCACCGCAGTTCTGGATCCTTCCTGACTTATCCAGAGCCTCAGAACTGGTAGGGGAGGGAAGATAGGGCAGGGGCTGTTGTCCCCACTTTTCGGAGGAGGACATTGCTAAGGCCACCACCCTGGGACCGTCCACTGCAGCAGCCCCTCGGAGGATCAGAAGCATCGCCCTGCAGTTAGGGCCTGGACATGTGTGTAGTGGCCGCGGCTATAGACTTGTCCCCAGAGCTGACTGCTGCCGCTTCCCCCCACTGTGCCCCCGCTCCCAGCCTCCTCTCTGCTTCCCTGCTGCCCCCAGACATAGCAGAGCCACCTACCTGTCTCCTCATCCCATTCCCGGCACTCTTCAGTGTGTGGCTGAGGCTGGAAGAGATCCTGCAGTTAGAGCTTGGGGAAGGCTGGAGGGAGGGAGAGGTTCAAGGTGTTCCCAGCCCCATGTTCCTGCTTGAAGAGCTATACAGGCAGCCTCCTCCAGCCTCACTGCCCTTTCTCTCCTGCCTTAGTTTTCTGCTCTGATCTGCATCTAGTCCAGTTCCCAAAGAGGGGCTTCTGTCCTCCCATCCATGGCAGGATCCTGGGAGTGACCCTCTCCAGACCCTCACCTTTGACCTCCAGCCGGCAATCCACAGATGCCTCCCCCAGCACATTGACGGCCTTGCAGGTATAGATGCCGGAATCAAAGGGACTGGGTTTCCGGATCTCCAGGGTGCAGATCCCTTGCTCAGAAAGGGCTCGGTACTTGGGGTCGCCCTTGATGTCCATGTTGTTTTTCATCCAGATGATCTTGGGCTGGAGGCATGGACAGAGGAGCATGGTCAGGGAAGGGTGTGGCCTGTGACAGGGCTCCCAGGGGCCACCGCAGGCCTTAGTACGGATGCCTGGAGGATTCTCTAGCCCTGCTGTCCCCAGCTGTCCCCCAGACCAGGGCCCCTCACCTTGGGTGATGCTCGGACACTACAGAACAGCTGGGTGCTGTAGCCAGGGGTGGAGGTGTGGTCAGCCAGGGGCTGGGTGAATGAGGGTGCTTCTGAGAAGTCTCGCTCAATAAACCCTTGAGGTTTGGCAGTGATATCTGGCTGGGTTCAGGGGAGAATTTGAGGTTACAGGAGCGGAGGAGACCTTGTAAGACTGGTCTCACCCAGCATCTTTGGGAAGCAGGTCATGGCACATTCATGGGAGGTAGAAAGAGAACATCACAGAGAGAAGGAAGCTGACACAGGGCTGAGGTGGGTCTAGGAGCAGAGAGGAGTGGGCGGGAAAACTGGAGCCACAGCAGATCTCAGCAAAAGGTAGAGATCAGCAACCTGGAGATACCACGTTTCCTTTCTTTGTCTTTGGAGACCCATCTGGCTTTCTTTTTTTGAAACAAAAGTTTTTTCCTAATTCTGTGGAGCTCAGTCTGGTGTTAACAAGAGCGCACCTTCCAGAGCCTACACAATCTGGCGGGGAGGGCCTCAGACACGGGGGGTGGTGGGAAGAAAGCCTGGAATTCTGCATTTGACGCAAAAGGCTCCTGCGCCTGTTGGAGACAGTAAATGCCACATTCCCCATGTCCGTCTGTGTGGTATTCTCTTTGTGCAGGGAGGTTTGTACTTTTATAAACTTGCCAGGGTCCTCCTGTCACGCGCACATTGCCTTTCAGGGTGGTTCCTGTGGGACACTATGCATGAGGTCCAGCAGTCACACATCTCTAGGATAAGTACCCAGCCTCGTGCAGGGGCCTGCTCATTCGCATGGGTTTGCTCTGTGTTTAAGATCAACCAGCCACATCCATTACTATACAGTCGCTCTGTCAGTGCATGTGTGCATGCGCATGCACGGTGTGTGTGTGTGTGGGGGGGTGGTATGCACATCACTGTGGAGTGGGAGGAGAACAGCAAAGGTTCCAGGGAGCAGGTACTCAGGAGAAGCCCAGAGAGGATACGGGAACCAAGGTCGAGGTGGAGACAGGGTAAAGGTCAGGATGCCTGCCTGGCCCAAACCCACCTGCCTTCCGGATGTGTGCAAGCTCCTTGGTGGCGGTTGCTGAATCGCTGAGGCCGCACAGGTTTTCTGAGAAGACCCGGAAGGAGTACGAGTTGCCAATGATGAGGTCAGAGATGGTGCAGGTGGTCGGGTGGTAGCGCTCCAGCACTGTGAACCATTGCTGTGGGGACCTCAGCTCATCACCCTCACCTCTCACCCATGTTCTTATCTTCCTTGCTTACCCAGTAGGCTCCTCCTCACAGGAGCTCATTCCATGTCCCTAACCCTGGGAGGCGGAGCCATCCAGTTTTTTTGTTTTTTGTTTTTGGTACCGGGGATCAAACTCGGGACCTTGCACTTGTAAGGCAGGCGGTGGAACCACTGAGCTACATCCCCGGCCCCCCCCCCCCCGAGTCATCCAGTTTTGAGCCAGAGGAACTTTGAATTGGGAGAGGGGATCCTGGGTCACTGAGATGAGCACTCGGGTGAGTTCTCCAGTGTCCTCAGAGAATTCTGGAGCCTAACTATGCAAAGTGTGGCCAGCAGATGTGCCGCCTCAGCAGCACCTGGGACTTCCTGCCATGCAGGACCCAGACTCCAGCCAGACATAGCAAACCAGAATTTGCATCTTAGCAAATTCCTGGGTGATTCCTAAACATAATAAGATTTCAGAAACACAGCTTCAGAGCTTGAAAGGCTGCAGAGAGCCCAGTCCAGCTTCTCCTGCAGCCTTTAAGGGAAACAGAGACAGGGAAGAGTCTTGCTGAGGGCCACTTAGGGATCAGTTAGCAGTAGCACTGGAGTGGGGTGCTGTGACTCATAGTGAGATGGACCTTCTCAGCCACCGTTGCCATTCCTCCCCGACCCCACTCGGCCCCAGCCGGCTTACCCCTGTCTTTTTGTCTGCCTTCTGCACTGTGTAGCCTAGGAGCTCTGTGTTGCCTGTATCCTGGGGTGGAGTCCACTCAAGGGCAGCATTGCATCCCCAGACATCCAGTACCCGGATGCTCTTGGGGGGTCCTGGCCTTTCTGCAGGACCAGAGTGGGAAGAAAAGTAGGCGTAAGCCCGGGCCTGCCATGAGATGCCCAGACCCAAGATTCGGCTCTTGCAATGGTTTCTTAGCCTGCTCCCCACCTGCCATCAGCTCTAGGGTAGGAGGGGAAGCCGAGTCCCAGGAGGCAGCCCCTTCTCCCTCAGCCCGTACCAATCACCAGGATATCAATGGTGGCCTTGGCTTCCAGGCCTTCTAGCCGCACAGTGAGCTCATAGCAGCCTGAGTCGGAGCGCTGGGCCGAGCGGATGAAGAGGATGGAGTCCTGGTCCCCACTGCGCACACTCACTCGCTGGCTGTCCAGGGCCTGGCCATTGTGAGTCCATGAGGCTTGAGGCTTGGGCTTCCCCTGGCAGGGAGGAGTACTCCGGTGAGTGTGGCTGGCTCTGGACGCCCATGCCTGCCCTGTGGCCTGCCTGCCTGTGCACAAGCTGGAGGATCACAGCGGAGGCAGGCCTTGTGGTCCCCGGGAGACCCCCCGGAGACACCGACACTCCCCTTGGATGTGTCAGCCTGGGCTCTTGCCCTCCGCCACCTAAGGAGGCAGACCCACCTGGAAGGGAATTTGCAGGTTGATAGACTCTCCCACCAGGCGGACGTAGATCTGACGAAGGTGGCGGGGGACACGGATCTTGGGGGCCTCTGCATGAAAGCAAGTCTGGGCTTATCACAGCAGGTGGACAGCTGGATGGGGCTCCTGGGGCAGGAGTAGGGGACAGCTGGTGTGGGCTGCTGGCCAGACAGGAGGACTCCTGGGTGCGTCCCAGCTGGCTCCTTATGAGAAAGGCAAAGCTCTCAGTCCCGGGGTGGAGGGGCCCAAATTCCTTAAGGGCCCTGGGGAGCTGGGAGTCAAGAGGTTCCACGGAGGTCAGGGCCTCCTTGGTGTGAACTGGTAAGCATTCAGTTCACTGATCCCAGACACTCCCTTGGCACCTCACCCTGCCAGGCTAGGATTTGCCCGGCAGCCCAGGCATTCTCCAGCTCAAGACGGGGCTGCAGCCAGCTCTCTGTCTCCCCCTGCAGGAGAACAGGTGTTGCATCTGTTGGCCTGAGCTCCTAAGGAGGGAGGCAATGTCACCCATCCTGTGATCCAGCGCCCTGCACACCCTGGCCCAGGACTCTCAGAGATCCCTTTGTGAGACCCTGCTTGCTCATTCTTCTGGGAAGATGAGTCTTCCCCGACCGAAAGGAGGCTGGAGCAGGAATAGCCCCTTCTTCCTGTGTCTCCTCCCAGTCTTTAATCTCAATGGCCCCTGCTATGGCAGGGAACCACATTCCTGACCACACCCTTATTCAGATCAGGGCAGCCGCTGAAGTCTCTGGACATTCCAAGGGAAGCTGTAGTGGCCACTGTCCCCGTCCCTGGTGGTGGCTTCTCAGTAACAAACAGGTGGCAGCAGTTGGTCGTGGCATGAAGGGCGCCCAAGGAGGAGACAGTGAGAAGGAACACTGTGTCTCCAAGGATTAGCTGAGCAGGCACTTGGCTTGGGGACCCGCAGGCCTGGAGTGCTCTAGGGGCAGCTGCAGGTGGCCGAGGAGGGACAGCTGAGCAGCTGAGGATCCTGGACAGGCCCCCACTCTGCCCTGCCCACAGAAGCCTGGCTGCTTCACACTTGTTCATGGCCTCCTCCCCCCTTTCTCTCCAGGAAATCCCCTCCTCTCCTGCCAGAGGAATTTTAATGGAGAAGAGGGTGCTAGTCTGGCTGGTTCCTTCAATGCTGGGCCTCGGTGGTCTCTCCAGTCTGAGCCCCCTAGGGCTCTGGGGGAAGGTCTGGGACTCTCCCATCCAGGAGGGCTTCCTGGCCTCTCCAGGCTACGGTCAGCACGGCCATACTGCAACTGCCACGTGGAGCTGTGCCGCGCTCCAAGCTCAGAAACCACCAGAAAAGATTTCCTGCTGCCCAGCAGGGTAGGAATGGTCCTGTGCGAACACCACAATCTCAGACTGTCACCAAAAGGCTGGATGGCCCTGAGGGAGTCCCTGGGCCCTTTGGAATCTCTTGGCTTGGACACACCAGCCACAGCAGTCTTGGTTCTAAGCTGCCAGGCCTGAGTAGTGCCTTGAATCCAAACCTGACCCCTCCTGTGGCCATGACACCCTATCCTCCTATCACCTTGTCCAGAACTCTGGGGTTCTGCTCCAAGCCTCCACTGGAACCATCCAGCCCCTTGGTGCCAGAGCACAAAGGAAGATGGAGAACCCCTCAGGCCACCTGCTTGCCTGCATCTCTCTTCACCCTGGGGCCCTGCACTGTCTCCAGAGACCTGAGACCAGGCCAAATGACTCATTGCCATTAACAGACTGAAACCCGATCAGCAGGGAGGGCAGCGAGGGAGGATTGAGGCTCATATACCCTGCAAATAGAAATATTAGCAACAGGGACAGCAGCTGGCCTCCATGTCCCCAGCGAGGCACTACCTTCCTGGAGGCTTCATGGGCCTTTAGCAGATCCTCTTATTCCCACCAGGGCTGAGGAAGACAGGGGGCAAGCTTTGGGTTCTAGATGGTTTGGGAGAATCTGGAACCCAGGCCTCCCAGGCCTCAGGAAATGGGCAGAAAATGAGCTGCCATGCCTGCTGGAGGGACTAAAATGAGATAGAAGGACCGACAGATGGCTCTTAGCACTGGGACCCTGAGAAGCTCTCTTCTGGGCAGCAGGAAGCCCCTCCCCAGTGCTTGGGGGCAGGACCACTGGGGAAAATGGCTTCTTTGATTACCAGAGGCCCTCGCTGCTGAGAGAAGCCACCTGAAACTTTTTCCAGGCAAGATGGCACCCGCATGTGGCTTGTGTGTGTGGCTGTGGGAGTGACATGGTTGCCCAGCCTCGGTCTCTCTGCTAGACAAGGGCTGGGAAGCAAGAGGTGAGCTGGCTTTACCGATGATCTCCTGGATATGGACAGGCTGGTCCAGCAGGGCCGGTGGGCCGGCCCCGGCGGAGCTCACTGCGGCCACTCGCAAGAGGAACTTGTCTCCCAGAGCCAGGTTCCGCACGGTCTGCTGGGTCACCATCATGGGCCGGGGAGTCACAGGCACCCACTCTGAGGCTGGGGGCACAGAGGGCACGTGAGGCCATGGTGACATGGCCAGGGGCACCCTTCTCAGTGGGGCCTCCCTTCTCCATGGTGATCTGGGCACGTCGACCTCCCTCCCCAGCCCTGTCTCCTCCCCCGCTCTCCTTCCCTGACTTCTTAGTGTTGACACATCAAAGACAATGTTAGAGCTGTAGAATGATGGCCAGAGATGGGGCTGCCGAAGCCCTGAGAGGGTTGGACACATTTACAAAATCACAAAGTAAGAAAGAGGAAGAGGCCAGGGTGAACTTCACTGTCATGAAGGAGGACCATGGGATCAAATGGTCCCACGGACTGGGATCAAACTCCTCCCCTCCTTCCTTTTCCCTCACTGGCTATTGTTCTCCCCTCTGCAGCATCTCTGCTCGTCACCTTCTACGTTGTCCTCCTCAAGCAGGCTTCTCTGAGGCTTAACACCTCTTTCCTTCTCATTAGAGCAGTGCCCAGTGTCCCCCACCCTCATGTAACTCAGAGGTTCCCTGCAGCTGGAGGATGAGGGGCTCCTGAGGTCACAGGACAGCCCCCCACTTTCAGAGGTCCCAGTGGAGCAAGAGGGTTTGGGTGCAGGGTGCTAGGGAGACCTCTGCCTGCACTCCCTCCCTCTGTGTTGCCCCTCGACCCACTGCCCTTCACCCTGCCTCCCCTGGGCATATGCAAGGCTGAGCCCAGCTCACCTCCCTCTTGGCAGAACTCCAGCACGTAGCCCTGGAGTCCCAGCCTCCCCAGCCTCTCCGGGGGCTCCCAGCTCACAGTCACAGAGTTGTGGCTCACATCCACGACGGTCAGCAGCAGCGGGGAGCTGGGGACATCTGCGGGGAAGCCAGGGCAAGACAACGAGGTTGGTGCCCCAGAGGCCCTCCCCACATGCTTGTCTCTCCCTCCACCCTGCCCCATCTCTGGTCACCTTCACTTGCAGGTGCAGGCTTAGTGGCTGCAGAAGCTTCGGGAGCTGCAGGAGCTACAGGGGGTGCAGGGGCTGTGGGGGCAGGTGCCTGAGCAGCAGGCCCCTGGGGCTCCCGAGCCTGCTCCTCCCCAGTGGACTCTGATGCTGCTGCTTCTCCGGAAGGCCCTGTGGTAGGCACCTTGGCAGACTCAGACTCAGGCACTGTCTCGTCTCGGCCAGAGGCAGGGGCCTCTGAGGTGGCTTTTCCTGCCATAGCTGGGCCGGCTGCTGATCTGGCTGGTGTGCTCGGGGGTGGGCAGGGGAGGGTCTGGGCCTCCAGGTAGGTGGCTAGGACATCTAAGTCCAGGCTTATATAGCCGGGGGCTGCCCCACCCCCAGCAAATGATTCCCAGCTGTGGGGTCAGGTCAGGCAGGGGGACAGCAGGGCGGGGAGGCGCCCAGGCCAGGAATAGCTCTGGAGGAGGAACTACGGGGCCCCTTGAGGAGCACACGAGCTTGCCATCACCCGGACTGGACCTCACAGCCAGGGTTCTAGTGCCAGAGGGGCACAGGGGGTGAACTGGGACATCACTGGGGCCTGTGCCAGGGATCAGGGACCAGGACAGTGGGAGAAAGCAGCCATCTGGAGAAAGAGACAGGGTCTAGGGGGCCACTTGGCCCTGGGTCTGCCAGCCTGGGGGCCTGGGGTCCAGACAGCCGGGACCGGCCTCCCCTATAAGGGCTCCATGCTTTTTCTCTGGGGTCTACACAGCCCTGGTCCCCACAGTCGGGGGATTCCCGCTTGTGCTGTGGAAGGCTGAGGGTCCAAGAGAGGGAGGGAATTGAGATATCCATGGTGGAGGGCTGGCCAGAGGAAGGTCCTCCAGCAATGGGACCCCAGAAAGGAAGCCTGTCTGTCTGTTTTCTGCTGCTTTAACAGAATACCACAGATGGGGTAAAATTATAAACAACAGTTTATTTGCTTATGGTTCTAGAGGTGAGGAAGTCAAAGAGCTTGGTGCTCACATCTAGTGAGGGGCTTTGTGCTGGGTCATAACATGGTGGAAGGGCAAGGAAGACAGGGATATTAGCTTGAACTCATCCTTTCTGCTGGGGACCCACTCATGATATAAGTGACCCACTTCCACGATAAGGGCATTAATCCATTCATGAAGACATCACCCCTGTGGCCTAATCACCTCTTTATAAGCCCTACCTCTTAACACTGTTAAAAGCAATTACATCTCTGAGTTTTGGAGAGGATATTCCAACCATAGCAGGGACTAAGCCCCTGCTTCCAGTCTCTGTTAGGAGGCCAGTAAGGACGCAGCCTACCTCAATTCCTGCTCCAGTCCTCAGTTTCCCATGTACTACTGAGAACTGTTTCCCTTGGGGTTTTGGTTGAGATGAAGTCATAGGCAGACCTGAAGAGACCCTCCCTGCTGGACAGCAGCGCTCTGAAACTCCTAGCCTCCTGGCTGGAATGGAGATTCTCTGTGTGGGAAACCAGGCAGGTGTGGCCAAATTCCTAGTCACTGATCCACTCATTCATTCAACACAATGTTAAAATGGGTAGTAATTTAAAATCCAGAAAATACCATGTGTTGGGGGGAGGGGGCAATAAAAACTTTCATTGCTGGTGGGAGGTAAACTGGAGCCATGACTCTGGAAAGGGAGATAGTGCCAAGTGACATTAATCGTGCACCTGCTTGGTAACCACACAGGTCACTCCTGGAAACGCTCATGCATGAGCCCCAGGAGACACAATGAAAGGCATTCGCGGCAGGGTTACTTCTAATACACTGAATCTGGGAGGGAACAGTGCTCCCTCGACAATGGGGTAGATAAATAACTGCAGAGCACTTCTGCAACTCTGAAGCAAAATATGGAATAAAATGAAGAAATTCAGCTATAGCACAGCTGATCTCACAGACCTGACTGTGAGCAAAAGGAGCCAGCCACACAGAAATGGTGTCATCTCATACACATTAAATTCAAACGCAGGCCTCGCGGGAGTCTTCTTCAAGATGCATCCATAGGTGGTCAGCCCATAAAGGAGAGCAAGGCCCGAGGTTAGCGCAAAGGTCTAGATGATGCTGTCCCCCAGGGAGGGGATGGTGGAGGCTTCAGGATGCCACCAGGGCTTCATTTTCTGCTGTCAGTGGTGGTCACACAGGCTTTCAGTTCATAATAACTCTTTAAATTAAACAAATACATTGTATGCACTCTTTAGCATGTATGATGTATCTTACAATCTAAAGATAATCAAACATGCACTTTATTTAGGGTCCTCAGCAGTAGAGGGTCTGGAGAGCCTTTGGGTCCAACCCTGCCTGGTTGGCCACGTCCCCTGCCAGGTCACTCAGTGTCCTGCCGGGCAGGGAGCAGGGCCTGGAGATGCGATCTCCATCCTTGGCCTCTGACTATGCAGCTATAAGCGAATGTGACTAACTCTACAGGACCCTGAGTCAGCCCTGGACAGCCTGTCCAGAGCTGGGGGAAGGGTGGCCCCAGGGGATAGGAGTTGGCTCTTCAGGCATGTTCACAGACCTGGGGTTTCAAAGACTCTGTGTGGTAGGGCAGGCAGTGCCCAGGATTAGGGATCACTTGGTCCCACTGGCCAGCAGTGAAATGCCAGGTACCCCCTAAGGCTCTGGCCAAGTCCTTTTGCCATTAGCAGAGCTTTGACCTTCGAATCAGCTGTATCTGCCCAGCTCCAGCTGGTTCAGATTTCAGGGAAGTAGACAGGTATTTCCTTCCTTACACCTCAAAGCACAGTGGCAAACCATAGGGCCAACGCATGATTATCCCAAGTCACAGATAATCCAAACATCAAGGAATCCACAAATAAATTCTCTTTAGTTTTGGAGTATGGATCTGGACTCTTGTTTGGGTAAAGTCATGTCCGGGGCCCTGGAAGTTCACAGAAGCCCGGTGAGAACATCTTCACCTCATAAAAGGCTGGGAAACTACCTGGTCTTCTAAGCCACTCCTAGTCCATTCATCCTCCCCCTCGACAGCTTTGATCTCTGCATGGGCTGAGGGATGAGTGTGAGAGGGGAACTAGAACAAGGATAGAGGACTGGGGACAAGGACAGCACTGGGACAGCCCTCAGCTTTCAGTTCAGCAATGGAATGGTCTGTGGGTCACCGGGAGTACGGAGAGCCAGGAGATCCATCTCTGAAATGCCCTGCAGAGGTTCCAGCCCTGGGAGGCCAGGAGGTTCATGGGAAAATGCCTCCCTTCCCTCCTGTCCCTGAGGATCTGGGTTTGGGGCTCTCTAACTTGGTCCTGGGACCAGCTCCCAGCACCTGCCCAGAGATTAGAGGAGGTGAAGTGTTAGGATGAAAGGGCTTTCCTTCCCAGGGCCTACTAGCCTTCAAGAAATAGCAATGGATTCTTTCAACAAGGAATTTCACTTGGAAGTCTGGATGGCAATGAACTAATATCTAGAAGGCCATCAGCCAGGCTTTGGTGAATCCGAGGATGCTGCCTCCTCGGGATCTGGCAGAGGACATGGTGGCCTCAACCGCTACAAGTTCGAGGCTCCCAAGCCTCAGAGAGAGGAATCCAGAAAAGTCAGGGGAGGTGAGCCCAGTGGTCTCGTGTGCCCACTAAGACAGACTGAAGCGGGTGCAACCCCCTGTCAAGCTCTTGTACTTTATTGAGGAGCTGTGGAGTTAGAAAAGGGAAGTGAGATAGGAGACACGGTTATGTTCCTAAGTGAAGGTTTCAAGTTGGGCTTTGCCGAGGGTGTTATTAGTATGGTCACTGTGTCTTGTAGGGTGTTTGCATACTTGGTGGCGGATGTTGCCAAAATGCTGTCCTTTCGTATGGAAGATGGGGTAAAGAAGTTGCAGAAATCTCCTTGTGCTGAGCTTGGAGTCTGTGCACATTTCCATGAATCAGCAGATGTCTATTGATCCTGTGTGTTACACGGGGCTGGTCTCCAGGCTCACTGAGCCCAGAGCTCCACACTACCTCCTGTCCACAAGGACTGAGCTCCAATGTCATTCCTGTGGCCCTCTTCACAGGTTCCAAGGGAGGGAAACTGAGGCTCGGCCGAGGGACTTAGCAAGTGATCAGGTTCTGGGCCAGCTGGAGCCAGAAGGTGTGAGGGTGTCCTTGGCCCTTGCTGCGTGCAGAAGGTTGGGCCTAAGCCGCAGTGAGAACATCCTTGATGGCACTGGTAAGGGGGAAGGGTAGATTCTGGCCACAGAAGGTGCCCTGGACGTCATCCAAATCCAGGGTCCACACTATGGCACCTGCCAGCTGCCTGCTTTTCAGGTACTGTGCCTAGTGAGAGGGGTCCAGAGGGGCCAGTGTGTGTATGGAGGAAATGTGTGGTGTGGCTTTTCCCTATGGGAGGGGACAGCAGTACTGGAGACCCAGCCTTTGGGACAGGGGACAGGATCTGGGTCCTGGGAGCCTGGCTGGGCTCCCATCTCCCTCCTTGTCCTGAGGCGTGCAGGGCTTTCGGGAAGCTTACCTTGCTTCTGACACTTTCCTGGTCATCGTACCCCACCCACTGGTTGCCCTTGGTAGCGTAGGGAACCTTCTGGCTGGCGATTCTCTGGACTGTCGCTCCATGGAGGAAGTTACAGATCTGAGCAGAGAACAGGACAGGGGCAGTGCGGGGAAACTTTGCAGGTCACCAGAAGTCATTCCCCAAATCTCTGCCAGCCCCTTGCTTCAGCTGACAGTCTTACTTGCATGGTCTCTAGGCTGCGTGCTTCAAGAAGATTTATGAAAAATGGATGCAAATGTCCCAGAGTTCAGCTGCTGTAGCTTGGGGGTACTCAGGGGGGTCTGAGTGTCTCCTCTGTCTTTTTTTTTTTTGGTACCGGGGATCGAATTTGGGTTCTTGTGCTTGTGAGGCAGGCAGCGAAACCACTGAGCTAAATCCTCAGCCCTGCCTCCTCTGTCTTAGATAGGGTTGTGAGAATGCTGGGTTGGTTGGGCCCAAGGACCAGCCCCAGGCCCACAGAAGGCAGAGGCTGGACTGAACCAAAGACCCTGACTCTTGGCCACTGCTCCAATTTTGTGGCCAGAGGAGTATTTGGGGAGCTTGGTGGTGCAGGTCCCTGTGCCTGCAGCTGCTGGAGGCTTTCAGGAGCAAAAGGCCTGATGCCCTCCCTCCTTCTCAGGGATACTAGGCCAACTGAGCATGCTTTTCTTCCCAAAAGAGAAAAGGCAGGGTGGGAGGACCCCCTCCCCCAGGGTTGCTTTGCTGGGAATCTTACCTTCTCCCTAACTCCATTACCTCATAGTAGGCGAGGGTCCCTTCCTCCTTGGTGAACTGGCCTGCTAGTCCTGGCCCCGAGATCGGGGCTCCGACACCGTTCTCAGAAGAGGCCAAGGTATAGGTCTTCCCGAAGGTCGGGATGCCCATCAACAGCTTGCTGGCTGGGGCACCCTGCAGCAACATGTACCCTACGGCATGGTCCTGGGTGGGGGTAGGACAGGGACAGACCAAGCAATTAGCCAGGCTGCAGGTGCATGGGTGGGAAAGGCTGTTCAGTTAGTGCTGCCGCCTTGGCAGAGGAAGGTGCAGTTCCACAGTGCCTCTGGGATTCCCCGTTCATCTGGGAACCGCTAATTTCAGCTTAAAATGAATTTTAAAGTTTCATTCTTGGAAAACTCCTTTTAGGCATAGGAGGTGATTATTACCATTTGACAGATGCAGAATTCAGGGACTGGTTCAAGCACGTAGTAGGTTAAGACGAGCGAGACTCCCTTCTTCTCTCAGGCCCCAGCCTCCCTCCATTCTGCCCTGGCCTTTACTCAGTCTCCTCTGCAGGGCCCATTCCCAGAGCCATGGGGAATGTAGACTCCACTTCCTCCTCTGCGAAACGGGTCTCACAACCCCCGACAGCAGTATTGTATGGAGGAATGGAGGGCTGTGTGTGGGCCAGGCAGTGGCAGGGCTTTGTGGCCCCTTCCCTCTCCTTTCCGGGCACCCACCACGTTGTTGAATCTGTCCGCCTTGCCATCCAGCTCGCCTCGGAAGAGGGCGCTGTGATGTCCTGTGGTTTGGCGCCAGGCTCCATGGAAATCGTAGGTCAGAATGCTGATGAAATCCAGGTGTCTGGGAGGAGGGGTGTGAAGGGCCAGGTGGGAGGTTAGAAAAGCTCTTAGCCCCACATCCAAGGTCCCAGCAGGGGAAGGAGGCAGCCGACAGGCCATGGACCAAAGCCCAGCAGCTCCTGGGGACTGGTGTCCCGGCTGTTGGGGCCCCCCCGGGCTCAGGCAGAACAGGGGCTCTGGCATGCCGCAGGGCTTGTTTGGGAGCCAGCTTCCACCTTACTCAGCCCCTCCACCTGCGTGCTCAACCTGGTGGCAGCAGGCCTAAAGCAGCAGGGACAGATGGCCCAGCACGGAAGGAGCAGGACATGAGATGGCCCAACCTATGGTGCATGGGTGGAAAGGAGTTTCCACGGTGCACGGGTGAGTGGACTGTGGGCGAGTGGCACGTGTAAGAGCATTGGAAGCCTAGGGCAAATGGTTGACAGCTGCCTCTTTCCTACCCAAGCGCCGAGTCTGCATGCTCTGAGGTTCTGAAGGAGATTCTACAGGTGGGTGGGAGTCTCACCGTGCTGCCTGGGCTTGCGAGTCCCTGCATGGCTGTTGGCCTCTCAAAGTCACATGGACGAGGTGCAGGGTGAGGAAGGGGCTCCCTGTGTGCACCCTGAGGACCTCCCAGCATTGTAGAAATGAAAGCTAGGACTCCGCTGGTCTGCTCTGCCTGGCATGAGGATGTCTGGTGGATTTGTGCAGCCTCTTCTACTCCCTTTTCCCAAACACATTCATAGCAACCCTCTCAACTGGTCAACAACACCATAAGTGGGAAAAAAATGACAAGCGTGTTGTGCCCTGCCTGACAGATTGGGAAACTGCAGTACAGAGTGGGAAAGTGACTCTCTGAAGTTCACAATTTGGATCTTGGAAGGACTGGGTCCTGAAACTCAGTCTCCTGAGCCTTCATGGCCTATGCGGGCAGGGCTGGGGAGGGCTGGCTGTCTGCAGGGGAACCCAGGGAGCGGCCTGGGCAGGAGGCTCACCGGGATATCTGGGCAATGTCATAGCTGGCGTCTATGGTGACCTTCCCTGCAGACAATGCTGCGCTGAGCAGGAGCTGCTCCTTTCCGGCCTGCGTCTCCTTTAAAAATTCAGCCTTCATTTCCTGGATGTGAGACCGTGAGTGAGAGGCATTCAGGAGGCACAAGAAGGACACTGCTCAGGGACACTGAGGTCTCTGAGCACCCCATGAGCTGTCCCCATCTGTTCGAACCCCAGTCTGCCCAGGGCTCAATAGTAATGATTTCAAAAATGGCCCATCAGGCTGGGGATGTAGCTCAGTGGTGCCACACCTGCCTCGCAAGCACAAGGTCCTGTGTTCGATCCCCGGTACTGGAAAAAAAAAAGTGTCCCATCCATGGTCCCATTCTTTTACTAAAACTTGGCTGGACCAGTCTCATCTTCAAACGCACACACACCCATGAGCCCTCCACAACTTCCTGTGCTGGAGGGACCATTAGGACGTGGTCAGGCGGGTGGAGGGTGCTAGCTTTTCAGCCCACACTTTGTTCTAGCTGGCACACGAAGTCACAAGACCAGAGACGGACACTGGTAGTGTGAGTTCATTTCAACTGGTACTTTGCTCCTGGGGAACCAGAGATGCATGGGCTCCCCACAAACACAGCTGATGTTCCTGGATGTAGTACATCCTGGGCAGCAAGTAACATCTGTTTAGGACTGAATGGTGGACAGCGGTGAGCAGTGAGGGATGGGTACCACACCCCACCTGCCACTGTGGCCACAGGTATCTTCTTTGCTGAAACCCCCTGCCTGTCCCTGGAGGACATCAGCTTCGGACAGCTTCTAACCCACCCACGCCCTGGCCTTGCCATCCACCACCCTGCTTTACCCGACTGGCCCAGCACCTTGATCAGGGTGGTAAAATGCTCCTTGTCTCTCCGTTGGGGGTACATCCAGGCTAGGTCCAGCCCATCAAAGCCATGGGCCCGCAGAAACTTTGGCACTGACTTGATGAAAGTCTTGCGTCTCTGGGTGCTGGAGGCTATGCTGGAAAATCTAGGACCCAAATCACCCCATAGTGTGCTCAGCACTGACGAGTTAGGTGCCCTGGCCTTGGCGGGGGGGTGTTCCAGGACCTGAGGAACAGGGATCCTGAGCCCACACAGCTCCGGGAAGGCCTGGTGGGGACAGCACCCATGTCAGGCATCAGAAAGAGCTGTACGTTAGAGCCGGGCATTCCTGATTTCCAAGCCTGGACTGTGACTCTCTAGTCAACCTCTCTGAGGAGATTATAACCTAAGTCTCAGTTTCCTCATCTGTACAGTGGAATAATTGTAATCTCCACAGCACTGATGGGAGGATCCCATGTGATACTGTGGGAGAGGATGTCTGGCTCAAGAGGGAATTCTTTCAGCCACTCCACCCCCTTATCAAGCCCTCTCCAACTCTGCGTGCTCTGGGAGTCCTCTTAGGGTCTCCAAACCCTCACATTGCTCCCTTGGTTTCCAGCCTGCTCCCCCAGGCCCTGTGGCAGAGTTCACAGAAGTTGTTTGTGTTCAGTCCAGAGAGGCAGTGGGAAAGAGCACTCATGGGGAAAGAGAAGAGCCGCTGTCAGCTTGCTGTGTGATTCTTGGTAAGTCCCTTTAACTCTCTGGGCTCTGATTTCATGGCTGTTCATAGAGCAGGCCCATGACAAGCATTTAAGCTTCTGTGCCTAACGTGCTGTAGTGGCTGTCACCCCACACAGTGGGTGGGGAGAACCATGGCTCTTCTCTATCCTTTTGTCCTGCCCCAGGACTAAGTCTTACCTTTGAGAGCCAAAGTTCCATCCCCCAACAGACAGGAAGGTCTTCAGGCTGGGGTTCCTGTGGGGCAGGGGTGGAATGAATTTGCCAAGACACCGGGGAGCATAATCTGGGAGGCTGTCGCAGGGTTCCTGCTTTGGGTGATGGCTGGGTTAGGCCTCTGATATCCTCCCACCCGAGACTCAGTGTCCTCAGAGACCACAGACACTGTGGCAGTTACTCTGCAGTACGCTGCCCCTTATTGGTCCCCCTAAGAGGAATGCCAAAGAATGGTGAAGCAGCGTTCCACACATTTTCCATGCTCCCTGAACAGGCACCTTTAGGGGAAAGAGAGAGCACCCTTCCCAGGGGAGCTCAGGGTACCTGCTACAGTTGGCCTGTCCACTCCAAATGCTGCCCAACACCCACCAGCATCACCCCCTTCCCAGTGAAGCCAAGGCCCCCAGTCCTCCACCCAGAGGTGGCACTGTAGGCCTGCACCCATGCTCTTGGATAGACCTGTTCAATCCCCTCCACTCTCTGTCCTGGCCAGCCTGTGGCCTGACCTCTTTTTAAGTGAGTTCAGCTGGCCATAGAGGGTCACATCATTCCACTCCAGAGTGTCGATCTCATTGTCACTTATGTTGGCAAAGCTGTAGATGATGTGGGTACAGAGGAAGGGGTCGATGGCATCGGGGAAGCAGCTCCCATCACCTTCCCGGTACTGGGACCAGTTGGTGTAGTAGCAAACCAGTTTGTATGCAAAACCTGAAGGAGAAATCTGGGCCTGGATCCAGCCAGACACCTTCTGGCTGAACCCAGAGTTGAGCACCACTGGGGTGTGGGGCTGTGGTCTGGAGGAGTTGAGGACAGAGTTGTGAGCAAAATGAGAATTCTTAAATAGAAGGAGCCTGGCTTCTGGCTTGGGACCTGCAGTAGGGTCTGATCTGAGAGAAGCTCCGGCCCATCTATCTATTCTCGGTCCCCTGTGGGAGTGACCCTGCTGGTACCCCACACGAGGGCAATGCCCAAGCTGGGGTCTGCTGCCACAGGGGACCAGGAAGCTCTTCCTTTCCTCTCAAATTCCTCCCAGCAAATGAAGTCCTTTCTGGCCACTTGGTTAGGGAGGAAGGCAGTGGGCCTCACTTCTCCCTGAGGTTATGGGTTCCTGGTCACAGCTCCTGCAAACTGTTAGTCAGAGCCATCTCTGAACCTGGGTCCTTTAAAGATTGTTTTGAAAAAAAATTCACGTGTGCAGAAGAGTAGAGAGATAGAGTGATGACTATCCATATAAGCAAGCAGCTTGGTTGAACAAATGCAAATATCTCCAAGCCATTTGAGTCACAGAAGAGACTGGCACAGTTCCCCAGTGCCGAGACCCCCCTGCCATGCCTCAGCACCCTGCAGGCTTCATGGAGATGGGTGGGGAGTGGGGTGGGGGATGGGGGGCTACTTACAGCACTGGAGCAACACCAGAACTGCGAAGCCTGAAGGGAAATGGAGGTCAGATTCCCTGCAGGCTCACAGGCCCTCCCTCCCTCCCTCCCCCCGCTCCCCCTCCCAGGCCATGCAGATCTTCCCTCCAGCTACACGGAACCCCCTGTCCCCTCCCACCCCCACCCCCCAGGTAGGCAGTGGGCCACCATGCAGTGGCTCTGTGGGGTTCAGCCAAAACCCCTGACCAGTCCAACCCCACGTGGCCAGTGCAGAGACCTGTCAGAGTCCCCCTTGCCCCCATCCTGGTGCAGCAGAGCAGGCCCACTGGCTTCTAGCGCTCAGCTGCCTCTTCCTGGGACCCATACTTCCCTTTAAACCCCTCACACGCCCTCTTCCACACCCAAACCATCCCCTTTACAGGAACTCAGTGTGTGTCAATGAAGGAACCACGCTTTGGCTGGAGGTGGGGGCAGAGTCCTGCCAGTCACTAGGTTGGGGTTGAGAAACCCTGGAGTTTTGAAAACTGCTGGCCAGGTCTTCATGAGGCGCCTGCGGGCAGCAGAGCCACTGGGCGGCGACTCAGCCACTTTCGAAAGCCTCCCCCCGCCCCGCTCCTTCTGCCTGCCCCCGCTTGCTTCTTGCCAGCAGTTTCCCGGCTTTCCTGGCAGCTTCTTCCCATCCAGCCCTCAGTCCAGGCCCCTGGCCAGGTTGAAACCGGGTACAATTGAGTTACATAAGCCACAGCACCCCGAATAAGACTGTTATTGTATCGCCTCGCCAGACCAGACCTGCCCTCCCCTCAAACCTTCTCTCTCCTGGATGCTCCCACGTCTGGCCCAGGGCTAGGGAAGGACCAGGGAGCCTTGGGGTGGCTTGCGCAGAGAAGTGAGGGTGCCCACATCCCTTCCTTTTAGCAAATTACATGCTGATTATTAAATGGAAAGCCGGGAGAGGAGAGGAAATTCCCGAGAATATTCTGAGCTCAGAGGTCATTTTCTCCCCCTTTCTAAGTCCCAGTAAAAATCAGTAAGAAAGGGCCTGTGGCAAGCTAGGGGGCTGGCAAAGTCCCAGGCGTAAACACCGGCCCCTTGTGATTGCCGGAGCAGCTGCACAGGAAACCTGGGATCAACACTTGCTGTCCTCACAGTGATGCTCTTGCAGCCCAAGCCCGGAGGTCACCCCTCTCTGGCGCTCTGAGAGTAAGAACAAGCACAGCTGGGTGGTGGAGCGCGTTCTTAGCCTGCCTGAGGCCCTGGTGTCCATCCGTGGACCACTGAACAGCAACCACAAAAGATGGCCACTTCCACACGGCCAGAAAGATTCAGGACAACCCCATTTCTCCATCCACAGGCTATCGATTAATAGACAGTGAGGGAAAAGTTCAGAACTGGAAGAGCCAGTTGGGCCAGAGATTCCCACCAGGCCATTCCTTTCTACACAGCCGTGGAGGGTCACGTAGGAGCTGTGTTCATAGCTCCCTCCCATCCCTTCTCTCCTCCCTTTCGATTCCTCTAAAGCTCCGGCCGCCCCTCCCATTCACGGTAAGATCAGCAGACGAGAAGCAGCTTGCCTTGCATCATGCTCTGTGTGCTGAAGGTCACTGCTTCCTCCTCTAAGTCTTTTGTGCTCAAGATGACTGTCAGTGAGAACTTGCCTTGTCTGTTGGGGCAATGACAGGGGGACTTCCTGGCATCTCCCACAGAGACTTCACAGAGCAGCAGATGTGGGCAGAGATTTCCATAAGGTGCGGGATATGAAGAAAATATTTCCTATTTTCGCTCTCTGCCTTTGTTAAAAATTATCTCCTAGGCTTTGATTGGCCATGCTTTGTTGTCCTGTGAGCCCTAAGGCTCACAGTTTAATAACTCTATGCATTCTACATGAAAATGGCATAGTCCAACAGATAGCCACCCCCCGCCCCGCCCCAGGCCCGCCTCAGCAGGACTCTCCAGGGTTCCCTCGGCGAACCACCTCCACCTCATCTCATACCATGCTGGCTCTCTCTGCTCCATGCTGACATGTCTTATTTCAGGTCCTTACACGTGTTCTACTCTCACTGACCACAGGGCCTTTGTATATGCTCTCTACGTGCCCATCAATAGCTATGAAGGGTCCAAGATTTTATGCTTCTTGCAAGTCAATGAGATAAGCAGCCACAGTTTCATGGATGCTGGCAGGTTCTGTGTCAAAGACAGGGGATGTTTCTCACTCACAGCACAGCAAGCAGCACAACCTTCATGTTTGAGCCAGTTCCTTAGCCCCCCCAGTCCCACGGGGTGATATTGAAGTAGCTGTGTGGATGCTGTGCACACAGTGGATGCCATGCAGCAGAGGGACCCTAGTTTAAGGAGCTCTGATCTTTCGTGGTGAGCAATAAGCTTGCCTTGCCTGGAGCCTGGAGAGAGACTACCTTTGTTATAACACACAGTAAGCAAAACCTACCTTTGGACCCAGAGGGAGATGCTATTTCTTTTTCTTTTTCCTTTCCTTCCTTTTCCCCCTCTCTCCTTCCCCCTCTATCTTCCTCTTCTCCCACCCCCCCGCCCCTTTGACAAGATCTCACTCAGTTACCTAGGCTGGACTCAAGCTCACCATCTTCCTGCCTCAACCTCCTGAGTGCTGGGATTTCAGGCATGCACCCCCATGCTGGGCTGGGAGACACTAGTTCTATCTTTCAAGGCTGTTTGCTGTACAGACTCTGAAAAGAATTTGGAGGAGGCAGACAGCACCTGTGCTGGAGCATGTTCACAGGGGCAAGCAGGCCCTGGAAATGCCCCAACACTGACCTTCTTTAGTCAGTTTATCCTTTCCTGTCCTTCAGCCTGCCACTCGGCATGCTCCTTATGTCCAGGAACGGCAGGCTCCCAGGGAAAGTGAGCCCCCCTGGGACTAACGGAGTACTTTGTGCCTCTCTTCCCCATACCTGACACAGTTATAATTGTACATTTTATGTGTGTGGTGGGTCCTTCATTAATGTCAGCCTCACTCGCTGGACTGTAAACCCAGTGAGAGCAAGGACTGCATCATCTTATCCATCTTGGTGTTCACCCCTAGTGCCTGACACGCTGTAGACACCCACTGAATGGCTGACTACCTGGGCGATGATCTCTAAATGGTCCATTACTCCAAACTCTTATATTTCAAGTTTGGTACCTGATGTTCTCAACATTTCATGTCATTCATTATGAAATGTCATCACTGGTTCTTGGCACCCTGTGAGTAACTGACTGAAGGGTACCATAAAACCACAACACAAGACACCCAATTTAATTTCCCTGACCAAATCTTTCTAGGCCCCTGTGCTACACTGGACATTCATTTAGTCATTCAACCAGTGCTTGTTGAGCACGTACCAGTTTCCTGGTACTATGGCAGGTGGCAGAGACAGAAAAGAGAGTAAGTTCTGTGTTTCTAAAGCACATAGTCCAGCAAAGAAGATGGAGTCAGGCTTGGTGGCCTGTGCCTATAGTCCCAGCTACTTGGAGGCTGAGGCAGGAGGATTGAAAGTCTGAAGCCAGTCTGAGTAACTTGCAAAACAGTGTTTCAAAATAAAAAATGAAAAGGGCTGAGGTTGTAGCTCAGCAGTAGAGCACACCTAGGTTCGATCCCCAGGACTACAATAAAATATAACAGGCAAAAAGTTGTCTGTGGTAAAAATCAGCAGTGTTCTCATGTGTCCTTCATAGCCATAAAACAGCTTCACTTATCAGCAGAGCAAAAACCAGTGATAACATTGTTTTTTACTGAAGACTTGATATTTATGGGAAATAGTCAAAAACTATCAGTCTCAACTATTATTTTTTTTCTCCAGACGCAGGTGGCCCCCAACCCCCATGGTGGGGAACATGAGCGAAGAAGACTGAAGGGCGGAATTTTGCTTCTACAGCTTTCCCTTCTTGGTGGCCAAGTTCGTGCCTTTGAGACATGGACAGGACTGTGTGGAGTTGCTTAACAATTTTATGATTCAGCACCATTAAGCTGATATTGTGTTCTAGTTGGCCAAAATTTCATTTCTTGGGCATAAGAGAATTTTCAATTAACATGTAAATCCCTGCTCCCCTTTTTTTTGGTATGGCCAGCAAAACTAGAGTTATAGAATTTTAAGCCTTTACAGTGAATTTCTGACCAGCACTTAGGGGTGGGAATTACTTTTATGTGTGAAGTAATTATATGAAGTAATTATCTGTCCTATTTTCTCTAGGATCCCCATATTTGTTAATATTCCTTGCCTACCAGGGAATGAAATTCTCCACCCACTACCCCAGTACTGGAGACTGAACTCAGGACCTTGTGCTTGCGTGGCAGGCACAGCACCATTGAGCTAAATCCTCGGCCCTAGGAAATGAATTTATTTGCAACTCATAAGGCTGAAAGTTCATGATATAAAGTCAATACACCATTTTCTAAAGCAGTTGTCTCCAAACTTTTTGGACCAGGGACAGGATTTGTGGAAGACAATTTTTTTCTTGGATGGGATAGGTGGGTGGGGAACTGGGTCTGGCTTCAGGATGATTCAAGCTCATTGCATTTATTGTGGACCTTATTTCTATTATTATTACATTGTAACATATAATCAAATAATTATACAACTCACCATAATGCAGAATCACTTGCCACTCACAAATAGAGTTTGTTACAGATCTGAAAGCAGTGGATTTATTATGGCCTCTATGTTAGGCAAACCTCTCTGCTAATGTTCATTTGCACCTGCTTCCTGATGCTAGCATCACTGCCTCAGCTCCACCTCAAGATCATCAGGGATGAAATTCTCATAAGGAGTGTGCAACCTAGATCCTTTGCATGCACATTTCAAGTAGGGTTCACACTACTGTGAGAATCTAATGCTGCAGCTGATCTGGCAGGAGGTGGAGCTCAGCTATAAATACAGATGACATATCACTCACCCACCAGCACTGGTCTGTGGCCTGGGGCTGGGGACCCCTGTAATGGAGAACTTCATAAGTCTCATTTCCACATGTAAAGTGTAGTCTTTGTTTATTTGGGGATGGGGTGTCCTGGGGATCAAAACCAGGGCTGAACAAGTGCCCTACCACTAAGCTACACTCCCAGCCCCAGTCTTTGTTTCTCAGTAGTTGTCTTATCATATGACAAAGACTCTTTTCTTGACCAAATTTTAGTCAAGGTCTTAAGCCTTTCTGTACACTCCCTTATAAAATCCAGTTTCAGAAAATAGCCAAGTCAGTTAACAAGGACCCCCACCCTCCATATCTCATCACCCTCAATATCTGATTTGCTTCCTTATCCTCTACCGTCACCCAGTGATACCTGATCACCATGGCCTGTAATCAGCAAGAATCCTATGTAGTTGGTGGATTTAAGCCTAAATCTTCCTCACTCCTGATATTTCCTCTTCACTCTTGCCCCTGTCTTCTTGGAGTTGAGCTGAGTCTTTCTTGCCACTGCAAGAATCTGTCTCCGTGGTCCCTATACCTGTCGTGATGGTCCCGAGTAAGATCTGTCTTACCATGTTCAATAAGTGAAGTTGGATCTTTTTTTCTTTAATGTATATTTGATTAAATGGAATTTTTGGCACAGTTAGTATCCAATTATAATCTGGTAAGAAAAATGATGGATTCTCATTGTAGCTGTATAGATAACCTATTTAATAATGCACGTTAATTCCTTTTAGAAGTGGATAATCTGTAGCAATATATCTGGTCACATTTCCCCCCCTCAGATTTAAAAAATAGGATATTTGGTCATGAAAAGTAAATGAACTTGTAAAATGTTGCTGTAGTTGTTTTGTATACAAGGCCAATCAACACGTCATTATAATCTACAGAATTATTTTTCTTAAATTGTTGTGATGATACATTGGTTTATAATTGATACTAAGATCTCTCATGGAATTTCTTTCTTTGAAATTTTTAAGTTCAGTTGAGACAAAATAACATTTAAAGTGAGCTTCAACATGCTAAAAGTATAAAAATATATGATGCATTTGAAGATGGAATAGAAAAAGGTAAAATATTTTATTAACATTTTTTAGATTGCTATATTAATCTTGTGGCTATATTAGGTTAAGTAAACTATATTATTAAAACTTTAAGAAGAGTGCTTCATTCCTATTTGTGTAGATATAATCTGTTAAATTGAGGATGAGGAATAGATTAAACAGAAAAGTTTTTTATGTCAATTAAAATAAAATATTAATTATAATAAAATCAGTTCATTTCATCCATTTAGCCCTTGGTAAATTCTTGTTCTGTTGATCTTGGGTTAGGTATTCTACTTCTGCAAAGTTATGTTTTTTTTTTATCAGTTTCCTGCTCAACTCTGTAGCAGGAAAGTACCTATTGATAATAGTGTTCATCTGGTGTGAAAAACTGAAAGTGTAAATAGGGACCAAAAAGTTTAATAGATATTGTGAAATAGGAAGAAACTGTTCAAAATTATACCAAATTTGAGATACTTTGTTAATAATTTAAATATTTTATGCAAAAAAGGTATATTATTATTGGGAAATGAGTTACAGATAGATTCACAAATGATATATATTCTTTTAAGATCATGATATACAGTGTATTTACCATTGTTATTCTTTATTTTTGTTATAAAAATTA